ATGCAGAAAAGGATAACTCATACTCTTGTTAATAAACATCATTACGTTATCTACTTTTGGAGGTCTCTATTAAGGCAAGGGGCCCTCAGTCTCATTGCGGAGACCCTAGATTAAAATAAAAACCAAGATTGGAGTTAGACACTAAGTGTTCTATAGCTTAAAATGTTGCATTCAACCAGAGTAATCATATCAAATTGAATTACGCCAATAAAGTGAACTACTTTTCCAGCTACTTGAAATATGTGAAACATTTACAAATTTGTCTAATAATTAATAATTCATGAACTTTTGTTTTACATGAGTTTAACACAAGCTCTTAAGGTATGGTCCTCTCCCTTCTGTGCAGTTCTTTGATTGGAAGGGCAAATACAGGATTCTTTTTATCGTGGAGACATTCAGACAGATATGTTATGTCGCACTCTAGTCTCTGGGTAATTTAAGTTTAGAATAAGAAATGTGTCCCACATTTCTGGTGTTGAAGAAGGTGGCTATGGAGAACACTTTACTAGCAAAGACCAAGTGCCCAGGGAATGTAATAAAGGTGTGGCTGTCACTCACTTGTGTGCCTGTGTATACAATGTCATGCGTCCAGCATACAACTATTTGCTACATTGGGTCTGTAATCCCGGATTGTTTTGAATTGCTCTTTATGTAATTATTTTTATGTAATGCAATATTTTAAAATAAAAAGAAAATAGTTTTTTCTGTTTGGATATTTAGAAATATTTTTAAAATCTTAGGTTAAATTAAGTTGGCTATTTGAGTTCTAAAATAGGCTATTTCACTCTTCATGTAACAACATGGTTTAACGGATCTCAGCAAGTGTGTACCAGTGGTCATGAAGGGAAGAGCTATTAGGGTCTCACATTTTGTTTATTGTAAGCAAATGTTTAATGCTGAAACTAATTTTAATCTAACACATTCTCAGCTCTGTCTCTAGTTTCTAACCAGTGTGTTCACAGATAATATGCATTTTAAAATTAATTACATAAATTATTCCAAAACTTCTTGAATTAACCAGCATATAAAAATCAGGATATAAAATTGCTGATTTTTTTCCAGATGATAAACATATGTTAGAGACATAGTTATTATCCCTCTTGATAGAGCCTCAGGGATCCTTCGTGTCTTGATCAAAGACACATAGCCTGTTCATAGAAAAACCGGAAAGAGTACTTTGTTCTTCTACTTCTATATCACATTTTTGGCATTTTATAAAGATTTTAGACTTAAAAATAAAATTGTTGTCCATTTGGGCCTGGGGTGATTATTAACGCAGGGTCATGTGCAGGTCGTTTGAAGAGAATGGTGAAAACCTCCACGTGTTCTGACCCTGGAAAGTTAGCATATTTTACAAGTAAATGAATCATCTCTTAACATGGATTAAAGGCCAGCACTTCCTCTCAACGCCTCCTTCGTCCTCACGCCCTTCTACATAAAACAGAACAGATGCTGCTTGGTTAAATTGAAGTAATATTTATGTATGTGATAGGAAACTAATTAAAACTGTTTTATAGACCTGCAGGGGAGTGGAGGTCAGGAAATGTGATGAATCCTAGACAACGATGGGTGTTCCTGTGTGTCTCAGAGCCAAGAGTAGGAAATGAGTGTGAAATGTTGAGCCTCTAATCACATTAGCATGTAGTAGAATATTAGTAAAATAATCTGAATTAAAGATTTATCACTGACTATACTAAATTTTTATTTTATTTATGTTCTGAAATCTCAGTCTTATGCTTAATAGTTTAAATACTAAGTAAAAAAGAATATAATTAACAGCACCCATAGCCGTATGTCAGGCTATACATTTAGTTCTAAAAGTTCATCAGTCAGGTCAAGACTGCCAACCCTTAATCGATACAGTTGGAATTTTTCTCTTTGGTGTGTGAGGACACTAAAACAAACAGAAAGAAGAAAAGAAACTTTTTAAACTTTGGGTTAGATAATAAGGCTTATTAGGGGCCAGACAAGTTGAACTTTTGTGAAAACTTGAAGAGGGAAATAACAGTAAGCAGCACGTGCCATGTCTTTTTTACTTGCTCTCCATTTGGTCCCCACAAAAACCAAAACATTGCTAGAATTTTGTATCATTTCCTTCTCCCCTCTCTCTCATGAAGAAACTAAAACTTGTCATTACTTGAAGTAATGTAGCACGAAACAAATATTTAAATTTAAACCCAGCAAAGTTTGATTCCATGGTCTCTGTTTCTTCCACATTAATAAACTATCCCATAAAAATTGTATTCCTTTTGGAAGAAATAAAGAGACTATCACCTTCATATAATCTCAGTACTCAGGTGTTTTCTTCTTGAAGAAGGTGGCAATGTTGGACATGGAATTAAGAAATTTCTGGGTATCTTTTTCCTTGAGTCTTTTCCACATTTAAAAAAGTTTCACACACACACACACACACACATAGTTCCTTAGCACGGCCATAACGAGAGATCTGATCGGAGTGGTCTACCCATGACCAGTTGTTTGCAGATGTTTGGGCCCAGGTAATTGAGCACATCCACATCCAATAACTCTAGTTTCAAATTATTGTTACTCAAGTAACTGTTAACCCACCTGTTAGCTAGTATAGTCACTGAATTATAAGATTCACTTTACATTTGTTAGGTACATGAGTGAATGTATTATCTTATTTCCTTGATTTTAGAATTTTATCAGTTGAAAGCGTACCATTTACCTAATCACACATTTTACGAGAGGGAGCATTGGAAGACACCACTGAAAATTTAGTAAGATGTGAACTTTTGTTCGAGTCCTGGTTTCTGAAATATTAAAATGTGCTTTTTATATTGAGAAATATAGCACCTCAGTACCATTAACTTTCCCTAAATTGTATGTTTTATCTTTATTTCCCATCTAAAACTCCTATCACTGCACCCGTTCACCTGCCAGTATCTAATCTTGCTCGTTTTCAGCTACATTAGCAGGACTACATTTTTCTGTCAGAACTGCTGATTCTCATTGAATTGTGTTAGCATCTCTCAAGTAAGTGCAAAGCCAATTAAGCCAACATTGTGTGGAGAAATAGTAATAGTGTTGCTTTCCATTGAGATTTCCTATGGATGATTAAAAATGAGGTTTCATGGGTTAGAAACTTGTGGACTTGCTTATGGCCATATGTATCTATGTTTAGGATCATGTGACATTTATCAAGATTTATTCTTAGGTACCTGATACTCCATGAGATTAAAAGATGAAGATCCTCAGTATATTCACAAGTAAGGATTCATGTGGGGAAAACTTGTAGGAAAAATATTATGTTTTTAAATGATGGATAAAGGCAAATGACAATTGTATCTTTTAAGAGTTTTGACTTGAATATGAATGATTTTGTGTTTCTTTTTCTTGTCCCCAGAATGAAATTGTACACTAAGTTGACTACCAGCATTTCTTTCATAGTTTTCCCATCAATCTCTTCCTATATCACCAAAGGAATGTAGAAATACTGGATTATTAGCTAATGAATTCCAAAGTCAGAGACCTTTAGATTCATTGTAAGATTTTTTTATTTTTTTAAGGGGTAGACTCTGCACAAATCCAAAGAGAGCAATTTCATACATGAACTTTCTATCTTTATTTGAGTTTTATGAATTTCGTTACATTATTTATAGCCATATTACTCTAGTGATTTCATTTGTTAATCCCTTTTATTTAATTTTTGAGATATAGTCAAAGTGAGTTGGGCTGTGTTTTTACTATTTTTAAACATTAAACAGTTTGTCATATGTTTGCCTTACGTGGTTTAAGGAGTGAAAAGATTTGTCTGAGTACCTTAATTAAATTGTTAGATTGATATTTGAAACCTAATTTTTTTAGAAATGGAGATAGTGAAATATTTAGTGTGGGTATATCATATTGTACTTGCTATACTATTTGTTGGTGAATCTGGGCTGTGTTCCCAGCTCCAAATAGAAATGCTAAATTATCTTGGTTAGAATTTTCATCCATCATATGCTTCAATTTCTTACTTGTCTTTTGTAATTCTTTTTTGGGATTTTGCCAGAGTCAACTAGAAAATGTCTTGTATACTTTAAGCTTTGAGAGAAAAGACATTGTAAAATGACTCAGTTATCAAAACAAATCTAACCAATTTGTGATTATCCACTTTGTGATTTTTCTTCCAGAAATCTTTAGTCCCACAAGAGCTTCATTGCCTGCTTGGCACAAATCTGGTCAAGGCAAATTCACCTTATTTCTAGCTAATATGTATGTGGGTTATGCAGAATGCTTTTGATTAACCTATGTCGAAACTGAGTTATAAAACACTTTGAAATACAATATACCTCCCAGGCCAAAATATATGTTTAAGAACATACTCCCAGTTTTTGACAATCTATTCTACTTCTTCCTTGTTTCTGCATGGGTAGTTTGTATAATAAGACTAGGTTTTTAAGGATGCATCTATGTTGATCTCAATACCATGATCAAAGAATCATTCTTTTATTATAATAATTTAAAGAGTTATAACAGTAAATACATCTATGAGTTCTGTATAAAGTCCATCAGTTTAGTGAATTAACCTTTGTCATATGCCTTTAGGTAAATTGTATAAAGTCCATCAGTTTAGTGAATTAACCTTTGTCATATGCCTTTAGGTAAATTGACAGATATGAGCATTTAGTGTAAAACTAGGATGTGGCAGTAACAGAAGTGATTGGCCTGATTTTCAATATTAAACATATTTTTCAGATTCATGCAGTTGGTCCTTGAAAGACACAGTTTGTCTTTGGGCCATATTTATGAGCTTTTGTATTTACAGAGCAAGTGAACTTTTTGACTCTTTACCCTTGCCCCTGCTGAAATTCCTTGGGCGTGGTCTTTGAAGTGGGGCAGATGAATGCATTGAAGTTAGAGCCCCTGCACCCCCTCACTGCTGGGTCACGAACACCATTCTGGGGAGAGTCACCACTGCTCACAGTAGCTGACATCTTTTCATTGGCTTATGGCAATTTATATTCTTTCTTTTGTCTTTTTTTTTTTTTCAACAGCCGTTGTGAACTTGGACAATTCTGTGGTTGATCTGGAGACTCTTCAAGCTCTATATGAGAATGTGAGTAATAGAAGGACAATTAAGTGTGAGTATATAATACATACACAATACTTGCCACTGTACACATCTAGGCTCGTTGCTTCAATCAGGAAATTTGATCTGGGTGCCCCGAATTTATGTAAGTATACATTTGTTAAGATACTTCGGAGAAACATATTGGACAAACGTGCAGTTCGTAGTTTTAAAGACTGTGATTCAAAGCATGCTGCATGCAAGGTCATTCACATTCCCTCTTTTTAACCATAAAAATAGTGGACACTTAAGTGGAGGTTCATTTGAGCTGAGTACTGTTCTGTACACTTATTTAATCTGCACATGAAAACTATAGGAAGATATTATAATTATTTCCATTTTACACAGAGGAGTTTTAGGCATGGAGAGGTTAAGTGACTTGTTCAAGGTCGCAGAGCTAGTGTTGTGGCATAGCTAGGATTTTATCTATTTTGGCTCCATTTCTCTAAACTGCAAGTTTATTACAACAGGGAGCAGGGCACCCCGACTTTCTTCTGGTAGCACATTTTTATAAGAAGTTGACAGGAAAAGAGTAAGATATCAGAGGAGAATGACCAGAGAATGACCAACGTAATGGTGTTGTCCAGGCCTTTGGGAAGTGTGACTTGTGCAGTGATGTAAGAAATGGTTTTAGCTAGACGTGGCATTAAATAACATTGATTAACATTGTAAGAAAGCGATTCTCTTTTCGGTGCTTTCTCAGTGCTTTTGGTTATATTTATGAAAAAGTCTCAGGATGGCTCTGTTTTGTCTTTGATGTCTTGGGGTTCTTTTAACATTCTGTTTCTCACCTCGCCTGTGCTCTGCCTGGTATTTAAGCTTCTGTGTCTTTGGGGGCATGGCCTCGGTTGTGCTTCCCAAGTCAAAGAATTCTAGGAGACACAGGCCGTGGACAAGATGCAGACTCTCTCCCTGACCACTCCCTGGGGACAGTGTGCTCAACCTGCTTGTTTGTCCACTCATGAATTTGGTGCTTTTTAAACATATGTATACATAGTCTCTCCTATGAAATTGAGACTTTTGTAAGAGAAAATATTTATTGAGCATCGCACAGAATATACAGATCAAGCATGGAGTTGGCGCCCAGCAGGCACGGCAAGCAGAGGTCCCCAGTTAGACGGAGCGTCGATGAGGACTCACAGGGAAGTTTGCAGTGGTTTATTATGTAGTTTTTGCTACATGCTGGAAAACAGGAAAAAATAAATTATGTATTTAGTATATTAATAACGCAGTGAAATGGATATTTAAAACATAATCATTTAGTAGTACAAAGTTTTCATTTCTCTTGAAATTTTTATACCAACCCTCTCCCAACCAGGAGAGCCACATAGAAGAAATGAGTAAATGACAGGTAAAATAATTTCTTCAGTTCACAGTGATGTATGATGTTGGTGTACATAAAACTTTTTTGTGTGTATACATTATATATCCATCTATACATGTGTTTATGTATGTAAGTAATATGTGTATATGTACATATAATATTTGAAGACATATGAATGTCTTATTATAACTTGATATATCCATGTACAGAAATATACATGGGAAAATGCAGAAATAGAGAACAACTGTATTTATGAGGGAAGCTTAATTTGCAGTGACTTAGAGTATCTTATTTGGGAGTTTTTAGCCTTTCAAAATAAATTAATTTCACAAAATATGAATTTCAGACTCTGAACAAACTAGATGGCTACCTGGAATTTGTGTCTAAATTCTTATCCTCGCTGTCCATGAAAATAAAAACAGGTACCAACTGGCATTGGTTAAATTTGTGGGGTTTTTTTGTTATTGTTGTTCTTTTGAAGCTTAGTAGTTCAGACTTTCGTTGTGTCAAGAAAACAATTACTCTTTTGGAGAGGGTGGTTAACCATAATATTAGTTCAGGTAGGCTAAATTTTTTTTAATTTTTATTTTTCAATTAGTGTTGACATTAAATATTATTTTATATTAGTTTCAGGTGTACAGTATGGTGGTTAGACATTTATATAATAAAGTGATTACTCTGATTAGTCTAGTACTCACCTGGCGCTATACATAGTTATTACAATATTATTGACCATATTCTCTATGCCATACTTCACATCCACATGACAATTTTGTAACCACCAATTTGTACTTCTAATCCCTTTACCTTTTTCACCCAGCCTCCCCAAACCCCTTTCCATCTGGTAATCACCAGTTCGTCCTCTGTATCTATAAGCTGTTTCCCTTATGTGTGTTTATTTTGTTCTTTAGATTCCATATGTAAGTGAAATCATATGGAGTTCGTCTTTTTCTCTCTGACTTATTTCACTTTAGTATAATACCCTCTAGGTCCATCTATGTCGTTGAAATGGTAAGATTTCTTTTCTTTTTCTTTTTTTTTTATGGATGAGTAATATCCCATTGTATGTATGTACCACCTCTTCTTTATCCAGTTTTCTATTGATGGGCAGTTAAGATGCTTCCATATCTTCGCTATTGTAAATAATGCTGCAGGGAACATATGGATGTATATATCTTTTTGATTTAGTGTTTTAGTTTTTTTCTTTTGGATAAATACCCAGTAGTGGAATTGCTGAGTCATAAGGTAGTTCTATGTTTAATATTTTGAGGAACCTCCAAACTGCTTTTTCCAGAGCAACTGTACCAATTTGCAGTCCCACCAACAGTGCATGAAGGTTCCCTTTCCTCCACATCCTTGCCAACACTTGTTTATTGATTTATTGATGGATGCCATTCTGACAGGTATGAGATGATATCTAATTGTGATTTTAATTTGCTTTTCTCCTATGATTAATTATGTTGAGCATCTTTTTATATGTCTCTTAGTCATCTATATGTTCTCTGGAGAATTTCCTATTCACATCCTCTGCCCATTTGTTTTTTGGTGTTGAGTTTTATTAGTTCTTTATAAATTTTGGATATTAACCCTTTATCAGTTGTATTGTTGGCAAATAGCTTCTCCTGTTTAATAGGTTGCTTTTTCGTTTTCTCGATGGTTTCCTTTGCTGTGCAAAACATTTTACTTTGATGTAGTCCCATTTGTTTATTTTATCTTTTGTTTCCCTTGACCGAGAAGATATATCAGAAAAAAATATTACTAAAAGCAGTGTCAGAGTTTACTGCCTATGTTTTTTTCTAGGAGTTTTATGGTCTTTTATCCGTCCAGTTTTCCCAGCACCATTTATTGCAAAAATAAAAATGAAACTGGACCACCTTCTTACACTATATATAAGAATAAACTCAAAATAGATTAAAGACTTAAATGTCTTTACTCCATTGTATATTCTTGCCTCCTTTGTCAGAAATTAATTGACCCAAAGACATGGGTTTATTTCTGGGCTTTCTATTCTGTTCCATTGATCTATGTGTCTATTTTTATGTCAGTACCATGCTATTTTGATTACTATAGTTTTGTAGTATAGTTTGACATCAAGTAGCATGATAACTCTAACTTTGTTCTTTCTCAAGATTGTCATGGCCATTTGGGATCTTTTGTGGTTCCATATAAATTTTTGAATTATTTTTTTCTGGTTCTGTGAAAAATGCCATTGGTGTTTGATAGGGATTGCATTGAATCTATAGATTGCTTTGGGTAGTACGGATATTTTAATGATGTTGATTTTTCCTGCCTATGAGCATGGTATATGTTTCCATTTATTTGTATCTTCTTCATTTTTTTTTCAATGACTTTGATGCAATTATAAATGAGATAATTGTCTTAATTTCTCTTTCTGGTAGTTCTTTATTGGTGTATAAAAATACAACCAATATCTGAATATTAATTTTGTATCCTGCTGCATAACGGAATTCATTTATCAGTTCTAACAGGTTTTTGATGGAATCTTTAGGGTTCTCTCTATATAGTATCATATCATCTGCAACTAATGATAGTTTTACTTTTTACTTACCGATTTAGGTGCCCTTTATTTCTCTTTCTTGCCTGATTACTGTACTGTAGCTGGGATTTCCAAAATTATGTTGAATAGAAGTGGTAAAAGTGGACATCCTTGTCTTGTTCTTGATCTTAAGGAAAATGCTTTTAGCCTTTCCCCACTGAGTATGATGTTAGCTGTAGGTTTGTCATATATGGCCTTTATTATGTTGAGGTATGTTCCCTCTATTCTCACTTTGCTGAGGGTTTTTATCATAAATGAATGCTGGATTTTGTCAAATGCTTTGTCTGCATCTATAATATTATATGATTTTTATCTTTCTATTTGTTAATGTGGTGTATCACATTAATTGATTTGCGGATATTGAACCAACCTTGCATTGAGGAATATATGCAATTTGATCATGGGTATTGGAGCTCTCTCGTAAGTAACTAGCTACCTTTCTCTTGCTGCTTTTAAGATTTTTCTCTTTGTCTTTAACCTTCACCATTTTAATTATGATGTGTCTTGGTATGGGCCTTTTGGGGTTCTTCTTGTTTGGGACTCTTTGCGCTTTCTAGACTTGTATGTCTGTTATCTTCGCCAGGTTAGAGATATTTTCTGTCATTATCTCTTTTCCTTCTGGGACCCCGTGTTAGTATACTTGATGTTGTCCCAGAGGTCTCTTAAATTTTATTCATCATCATTATTATTATTATTATTATTATTAATTATTGTCGTCGTTGTTGTTATTTTGCTGTTTTGGTTGGGCATTTTCTGCTATTTTGTCTTCCAAGTCACTGATTTGATCCTCTGCTTCATCTACTCTGCTGTTGATTCCTTTTAGTGTATTCTTCGTTTCAGTTATTATATTTTTCATCTGATTCTTTTTAATGATTTCTATGTCCTTTTTTATGCTTATTGTCTCTCTATTGAAGTCTTCTCTGAGGTTATCTGTTCTCTCTCTAAGTTCATGGAGCATCCTTATAACTAGTGTTTTGAACTCTGTCTCTGGTAGGTTGATTGCCTCCTTTTTTTTTCAGTTTCTTTTCTGGAGTTTTTCTTATTGTTTCATTTGCGACATTTTTTTTATTTGTTTTCTCATTTAATTTTCCTCTCTGTCTTCACTTC